TCTCCATAAAGGAGCTTGTGTCTTCTGAAAAACAAACGTTTGGGGGCTGCTGAGCATAAAGTTTGAAAACCACTGAGCTAGAGTAATGTATCTTTATATCTGATAATTTGACAGCTAAAGGGCTAAAGCTATTCAACTGTACCTTAATGAAAAATGCCTGAAGAACTGAATAGAATATGATAAACTTTGTGCTGGTATTTTTGATCCAGTCTGTGAAACTTGAGTAACTGAAGGGATTCTATAAAAGTTACGCTACAAATGCACAAAATAAAAGGACGATCAAGTCCTTTTCATAAGGCTTCCAGCTGATCATATAGAATCATGCTTCTGCTGTAGACTGTGATTATTCTCTACTCTTTTTAAGGTTTAAGCCCAACAAATGGTATAGAATGATAGGTTAATTTCTGTAGAACAACAGGTTTTATCCCTAGTACCTATGTGATGACTTTTTAGTTGTAGATATAAATTGAATTTATTTTAAGATCTCTGTAAATAATTTCTACAGAATGAAAAGTCACTGATACTCAGGATTTCAGGTTACCCCACCAGGATAGCTTTGAATCCAGACACCCAGCTTTGACAGTCAGATCCCTTGGACAGCACGGTTTTATCACAACACCATAGACTTCTCCTATGATGGTTGGTACAAGAAACTCCTGCAAATGCTTATAAACTTTATCCACATTTAAGAAGACAGAGCAGGAGTTACCAAGCAAAATTTTTCCCCTCATGGTTATACGTGCTAACATTTTTTAGTTGAAGCGTTTTGGGGGTTTTTTCCTCCCACATTGATTGAGTTTTACTTGATTTTGTCAGTATTAGTTCACCTTTATTTGAACTGCTGGATAATTCATTTGTAGAAGAGGCAGTACATTTAGGTACTTCCATCTGTGTTTAAGCAAGGCTCTTGTGCTTTCCCATTAAAAAAAAGATTTTGTATTATAATGCTTGTGGTAGATGAGGTTCTGAATTTAACTCCTTCCTACTCTAGTTTCTCTTAACAACTCTGTGTTATCAACACCTGGGGTTTCTAGTTTACTCTCTTTGCAAATATGAATTTGCAAGAAGGGGTTGATGGTAAGTAGCATGGTTCTAATTTGCACTTGCGAAGTGTGTCAGACAGTTTCATCAGGGCATGGTGAGCAGAGGAAAGCCTGTCTTCCTCTGAAAACAGCCCTTAGAGGATGTCAGAGAGCATGTTTGGCTGCGATAGTCACATGCAAATGCAATATGGTTTTGAAATGAGCTGTCCAGGAGCTGCTGAAGAAAGGGATACCTGTACTCCTATGAATCCTCCCTTTGCCTTTCTCTGTTTTCTTTATTATTTCTATTTGTTTTCATGACTCTGGGCTATCACTTTAATGTGCTTTTGGATGAGTCTACTTTGTTGTGCTGGTAGAAGTTCTATGGATTCACTTGGATGAAACATTTGTGATAGTCATCTGTTTTGCTAGGACTGTACCCAGTGATGTAGATAGGCCTTACCAGCTTTCTGTTCATTACTCCATCTACCTGGCATCCTTATAGCCTCATCCATCCCTCCTATCCTCCTAGTGCCTTCCAGACATCTGTTGAAATCTCTCTTCCCAGTGGTATCTGTGTACCCTTTTCTCATCCTTCCACACATTCCTGTCCTCAGAGCAGGAATCTTGCCCATAGTTCATGTGCATTTAAAAAGATTTTTCTTAATCCATTAGTAATCTAGAGGTTTAAGCCTGAGGTGATATTTGAGTGCACGGTTGGACTGTGGCCACCCTTCTCTCTCCCAGGTAAAAGGGCAGAGGATTTATGATGATACCTCACCTGTGCCCTTGCTTAAGAGCTACAGCCACTTTGAGTCCCTCTAAATCATCAGTGCTCCAGTAGTGGTAAACTCCCTCTAACCTGTCCCATTTCTCTACTACATCACATCAGCTAGCCTTACACCTCCCCCCTAAAACCCAGCTTTCATCACACACTTGCCCAGAGCCCTCAGAGGAATTCAGAATGAGTCACATAGGGTGCCTCTGGGGACTCCTACTGATGCAAACTTCCTCCTCCTCAAGGCAGCCTGTGGTTTGATGCCACAGTGCAGCTGGTACTTGTTAGCTCAAGCCTTCACTGTGAAGTTGATGGCAAAGCTTGGCCTCTGGCCCAGGCACCTTCAACTTGGCACTTTCCTTCACTGGGTTCTGGTGCAGGAGGGGACACTCCCAGCTCATCCTCTGTGTAGCATCAAACACAGGAGCTGCTCAGTGCCAGTCAGTAGACTGGAGGTTTGGGTTTTTTTTGGAGAGTTTATCATTCATTCTTAGGGTATATTCCAGTCCAGGCAGGACACTGGCATCAGCACATTAAGTGAAATGTTATGTGGATGTTTATATGTAAGACTGAAGTCCCCCAGTTCTTGGGATAGGATAGACTTTCATCAGGAGAGCTTTAGTTGAGATCTGTCATCACCTGCTTCCAGAGTCTGCATTCAGAAATATATAATGTGATGAATAGGGTTCATTTATGTTGTTTTGGTTTGGTCTTTCCCTCTCTCTCTGCTAGGCCATTGTCTTTATAACATTATCTACCTTCTCCCTCTTCACATGGAAAAGAAAAATGCTTTTCTGGTGGTAATTACACAGTGCCGTGTTGTAGACCTTTCATCCCATTACAGTAAGTGGACAAACTACTGTCATTTGCAAGAATGAAATAGGCGAGGAAATGGGAAAGTTTCTGACACTCCCAGGCATAAATGCCAACCTGACATGGGAGAACAATTCTGACAGAAAACAAGTTTTCTTGCTAGCAATGAGTACTGGTGTAGTTCTGCTCTGATGCAGGGATGGAGAAATGCCTGCTCATCTTCAGGTGTTTCAGAAACAGAAGAATAGAGCAGTATTAATGATAGGCTGCAGACCCTTAACCGGTCTCTGCCCTTGCAGTTCAACTTCAGCTCTTCCTTGCTCTCAGTTTCAAAATCTCTTCAGTCTGTCCATGTGCTGCCTTGTCATGGATGTGTTAGCAAGGTCAGGGTGTGAATACATTTAGATGTTTTTTCTCTAGCAGAAATTTTCTGCCTTATTATTCCCCAGCTCTTCATACATACCTTTTACATCTCTTAGAACAGATTGGTGCTCTTATTTGCTTGGGTTCTCTTGATGATTTATAGTGTTTCCTCCTGGGCGGTTTGCTGTCAGGGGAGGTTTGCCCTGAAGGTATAAGGTCTTTGCAGGAATAAGGTCTTTACCAGTGCATCAGCAAAAAAATATTTGCACATCACCAGGAAAGAGCTACCAGTTGGGTGGTAGAGCTTCCTTATCCCTTTCGTAGGCTTGCTTGTGGTCTGTGGACTAGAAGTTGAGTGGCTTGCGCTTATCTCCCTTTTCTTTATGTGAGGTGGTTGCCAGATGTTTGAGGGGCAGTGTCCTACTTTCTCCCACCTTCTATGGAAGATGAGTTTGGAACCCTTGGAGGCTCAGGGCCATGGGTGGTTCAAGTTCCTCTCCAGCCACTGCCCTGGGTGGTTTGGCAGCAATTGACTGTCGCCACCTGCTGACCAGGCAGAGGATTTCTCTGGGCCGGGTACAGCCCGTGTGTAGGGTGTCCAGAAGAGCCCCCACCCCGCTCTCCCTGGCAAGAGGGTGATGGGGCAGTAGGTGGAGATCAGGGTGCTAGCATAAAGCAGGAACACTGAGGACAAATATGACATTGGTCATTTAGAGAAAGGTGGCACATGCCTTAGAGTGAACATAACCATGGGTGAGAGCTGAGCTGGTTTGACTTTGGGCTGCTGTGAACTTGTAGGTTTTCAAGCAGATCATGGGTGAGATCAAGCCTGGTGCAGGAAGTTTGGATGGGATATAACCTCGTATAATTATAGTGTTAGGTGCAGTCAAATTGCATGTCTTCACTATAATCCATCTCTGTATAGGAATGCATAAAATTCAAATACTCTTTCAGAATAAAGGAAAATAAAGAGACAAGAAATTTTACCTAATCCTAAACTCCAGAAGTTCAAGTTTCCTCTTCTTTGATTTAGTGAAAAAACTTAAAGTTCTTCAATGTTCTTCAGAAACTGTTTCACTTTATTAGTTTTTTAACAAAGATACCTTTTCACACTGGTGTTTTTGAACATTTAAATGCAAGGTAAACCAAACAAACAAGTACATTAGACTGAAGGATGTACAATGCCTATGAGGTCGACGTCATTGCACCAAAGCTTCATTCCATGGCCAAATTGCAGGCAACAGCAGCATTTACTGTGATCCTCTTCCCTGGCTGCCCCAGCTGTGCCTGGGGCACTGGTCAGGGTTACATGACTGCCATGGTGGGAGCTGACTTCTGAAGCTCTTGGGAATCCTACCCACCTTCCTGCCCTTTGATGAACCATGTGTAACATTTGCCTTCTCTAGGGTCACTCCAAGTTTTCAACCAGCACATCCAGGGTAGGGACACCTCTGTGTTCTGCTTTGATTTAAGTTGATTCTTACAGTTTGGGACCTACTTTTAGGCCATCCCACCCTGCCGCCTCCTGCACAGTTAAAGGTGCTCCTGTATTGGGGCAGAACCCTACAGGTCCTCTAGGGACCCAAGGAATTTCATGTCTCCATAGAGACTATAATCTCATTTTCTCTCTTTTTCAAAACACTCTCATTTTCACAGGAATGCCTGGGGTTTCCCCTGATTATTTTCCAATGAGTCTCTCCTTTTTTTTTTTCATATATTATCTTTTAGTTTGTTTGTTTGTTTGTTTGGAGGCAGAGGAGAAAACTCCAAGGAGAGATGAAACACCACACACGGCAGTTCTACTCGACTGCCATGGTGCTGTCCCTGTTCTGTCAGAGCAAGGGAAGGTTGCTATTACCATTTTATAATGCATGGTCTCAGGTACATTCCTGCTTTCCTAAGCAGTTTGAGTTGCTGCACAGATGTTACTGTAAATCCCTGTTTCCAACCTAACCCCTCACTGCTTGATCTGGCACCTGAGAGGCCCCTCCTGCTGACGCTGTGTCTCTTTCCTTGCTCCCCAGGTCTCCGGGACCTCGAGCAGCTCCGCCGCCACCACCCCATCCGTGTCCACCCCTGTTACTGGCCACAAGCGGATGATCATCCCCAACCAGCCTCCGCTGACCGCCACCAAAAAGTCCACGGCCAAGGGCCCAGGGCAGCCAGCGCCCATCCCGGTCACTCCTGTGGGCACCCTGAAGCCGCAGCCAGTGCCAGCCTCCTACGCCACGGCCTCCACACCCAGCCGCCCGACCTTCAACGTCCAGGTGAGGACGGCACAGCCCAGCCCGCACTACCAGCCGCCCGGCCCGCAGCCCGCGCACTATGGCAGCCTCGGGCACGGCCAGCCCTACGCGGCCCCGCCGTCCCGCCAGCCCACTGCCCCGCAGTATGGAGCGCCTCAGCCCCACGGGCCTGACTACGGCTACGCTCCACCGCCCGCCCGGCCTGCGGAGCCCGCCTATGGATACGCACCTCCGCAGGGCCGCTACCAGGACCCCTACTATGGGGGGTACGGAGGAAGGAACGGCTCTGAAGCACCCTATGTGCCACAGAGCTCCTGGAAGGCTGAGCCAGCGTATCCTGCTAGTAACGCCATGGGCCAGGCTCCTCCTGGCCTCTACCAGCCGCCAGGCACTAAGAAGACCTATATCACTGACCCGGTGCTGGCCCCGCAGCCACCCACCCTGCAGCAGAAGGTAGGAGATGTGGGTGCTCACCCCCCAGGGGATTGGAGAGCCGCATGGCTGAATGTGGCCTGGGACCCTCTCTGAAAGCGAAAGTGGTGCCATTGGGGATGTGGGGCAGGTCTCCCTCTGTATGGCTTCTAAAAGCTGGAAATAGAGACGTCTCATCTGCTTTGAAAAGAGGCTTTGTGGGGACTTAGAAAAGCCATCAGCCTTGAAGTGTGAGCCAGTGTAACATGTGGAGGTATGGTGTCACCCCACAGGCAGGAGGGAGGCTTTGTTCCTGTGACATACCATTGCCCAAGGAGCTCCCTGGCCATGCCTCCGTACAGCATCGCTGCACTGGGGTCTTCTCTTCTGGGCCCTCCCAAGATGAAGTGAGGGGCTGGGTGAGAGGTTCTGCTCCATGTGCTTGTAGACCTGAGTTGAACCCTGGTTCGACTTGTAATCCTCCCTCTCCTCAGGCAGATGGGAGGTACATGGGAGGTTGGTTTTGATTGTGGTTCAGAGTGATTGTGGAGGTTGTCCTCTGGTGTGTTGCTGTTCAAAGATCACTTATCACTGAAACCACATGGAAATGAGTTCCCACAGAGCTTAGCTCTGGTTTTCTTCTCCGGTGATGGTACGCCGGGTGGCCTCCATCCACTTCAACCAGTGCCCGGACCTCATAAAGCGAAGTCATGTTGAAATAGAAAGTTAAACTGGCCTGCCTGGTTTCTCTGCCCAAGATGACCCTGTCTGGCTTTTATTATTTCTGCTGGTTGAAGTCTTTAATGTGGCTCTGGGGGCACACAGGCACTGTAGCTTTGCAGGGCCCTGGTGCATGACAAGCTGAGGCTCCACTGAAGGGTGAGGCAGGGAGACAGTGACACCATCGCTGCCCAGGCCCACCCTGGCATGTCTGAGCACATCCTGCTCTTGAGCTTGTGGGTGCTGACAGGGAAAGGGGAAAAAGCTTCTGATACATAACAGAAACCCTGTCCTTTTGTTATTTCCTTCTCTTAACAGCACACAGACGATCTTCCTTGAATTCCAGGTTTCTTGGCAGTGGGAACTTTTGAAGGCAAAGATGTTCCTCTAGGCAGTTTAGAGAGGGCAAGAAATTACACAAGTCCTTAAAATATTATCTACTAGCAGCTAAGAAACTGCTTTTTCTCTTTTCTTTCCCTTCCTTACCAAGAAGCTTAGGACTAGGGAGAGAAACAGCTAACTCTCAGCTCTGCAAGTACTTAGCATAGAGCTTAAACTGAAAAGTCACAAAAAGACACAAAATTTGCACATAGCCTTAACTGGTGTAAATTGTTGTGGTTCCAGTGGAGTCACTGAGGAAATGCTGAGGTACAGCAGATCCATATTTAGACTTTTATAGTTACAAGTAAGCTTATATATATAAAAAATTTAAAAACTGTAGTTCAGTCAGCATCTCTATGGAAACACAAATCATCTTGAACCACAAACAGCACAAGCCTGTTAGTCTCATTTGCATTACAAAGCTGGAGGGAGAGTTTAATTTAGCTCAAGTTTGGGGTTTCATGTCTGCATGTATATATTTTTATATATATGTTTGTGTGTGTGTGCACGTGGCATTTGCAAATACACATGCAGAATTACTTCATAAATATCTCTATAAAAATAATTTCAGTTCTTCTGCAGAACAGATTATTATTTGCTTGGTGATAAATCCCTCCAGAAACTTTCTTTCTCATCCAACCTACTAAATAACTGTGTTGTTACCTATTTCACTTTTTAGCTTATAAATCTTCTGTAACATATTGGTGGCAGATTCTGCTCAATTGTTGCTTTGTAACATATATAGTTTAAGTGATGAAGAATTGAAGGTGATCTAAGAGTCTTTACAGGAAATGCTCAGTAATAAAACACTGTATGCTTTGCCATTGAAGCAATGTTGTCTAGTCTTACTGCATGCTGTTCTCTTCCTCTGCAGACTAACTAATTCATAAAATCAACGTTTGGAATTATTTTATTTAAAAGGAAAAAAAAAAAAAGAAAGGCTATATGAGAGCCAGATATCTGATAGAACTGTCACTGTAATTTGACTTGGCTACAATATGAATGTTAACTTATTTTCCTGAACGCAACTGGCTTCTGCATTTTATTGTGTTTTGCCTTTTCAAGGTTGGTTTGAGGTCTTTCAGTTAAGGAAATAGATTTGAGAATCCAGGATAAGAAGTGCATATCACATAAAATGCAAGACGACCTTTAGGAATTTTATTTCTTGCAAGGGAATGATTTTAAAATATAAACCAATTTCTAAATGTATTCAAAATAGTGCATTCTTAATCTTGAACGCACTTTGTTAAGGATATTGTAGCAAATCTATCTCAGATTAAAAGTTCATAGTTCTTAATTCTAATATGATCCATCACTTTGAGAGGTAAAATTTTTCATTTAATTTGTTAATGGCTTTTAAAGGGTCAAAAAAAAAGTATATATTTGGCATTCTGGCTAGAAGGAGGTCCATGGCATTGTGGCTCAGTGCTTTTTGCTGTGTACTAATCATGTTGAAGTCGCTGCTGATCCAAAATAAATCTGGATTGGTATGGGAACAGCAAATAATCTGTACTGGTTCTTAAAACCTGCTGAGAACAATGAGTTTTACTCACTCACAACCCTGCATTGCATTCTGTCCTTGGGCCAGTTATGGAGTGAGAATCATGCATGTGAAACCTCTGGGCATTTTAGTCTTTTGCAGCACCCCGTCTAGCATTAGTGCCCAAGTCCTAGTTAGGAAATGATCTGGTGGAGTGCATGTCCTCATTTAAACCTCCATGTGCTTCAAGGGCTGAAAAAGCTCAGGAGCTTTCTCCTCTGGATGGTAGGTGGTGGGGATTTCTGTAGAAGCAGCAGCAGAGCTCTCATGAGACCATCACAGAAACATGTGACATGATCAGCTACTCCTGTACTTTTTGCCAGCAGTGCTGTGCCTACTCAGACCAAGTCAAAATCTGTAGCCGCTCTTTTAACTTCTTCCTCCCAAAGACCGAAGTGCACAAGATCAGAGTGGCTCATTAGGTCCGCTGATTTCTGGCACCACGATGTCCACAGTGGACAAATGACAAAGCACATTGCTGTTGTGGAGAATTACTGAAACTTTGCCCTGTGACCAAAGCAGGGTTGATAAAACTCCCACCACCGACCAGCTCAGCTATCATCAAATGTTTCTGTGCTGGACTGGTGAGACACCAAATACTTTTGTTGAGCTCTCATATCTTGAAATAGGTCTAGGTCCTTTTACTGCTTTTGGTAGTGTTTGAGTGTTTTTGAGACACTATGACCTCCCAGGTAGATTTGTTAACCTTTCAGGAACCTCATGTATCTCCTGGGAGATCTGGCCACTGGGAGATCTGTTCTTCCTAGGTCTCAGATCCCAGCTATTCTCCTTCTACTCATAGACTTGGGGAACCACATTCCTTCATAAAGGAACCTGCACATTTTCAACATCCAAACTGGGTACCACTGAAGTAATTTGAGAGAGCTTGTTGTTTTGGTCCAGAATGGGGGAAATCTTAACAAACACACTGACCTCTTGAGAAAAATTTACCAATTTGGTGAGGACAGAAGTGTCTTGTAGCTCTGATTTAGTGCAGCATCCAAATCCATGCTCCCTTGCTGCAGATTTTCTAGAAGGAGAAAGGGAGCAGTGTTCCTGCAGTAGCTGTGTCTGTTCTCCCTGACATGGCACAAGTGCACGAGTTCCTTAACCTGGTCAGCCCAAACCAGCCACTGGTCCCACTGTCCCCCTTCACACATAAAGAGCCATCAGTGGCCTCCTCTTCACATGACCCTTCAGTGTTGTGCACCTTTTGAGGTTAGCACCATGAAAAGTAGAGAGACAGTTGGAAATCATAAGGCAGCTTATGCTTTTGGCACGGTTTTGGTGGTGGTGACCACTCGTGATTAGCAGACCTCGGCCACCGCATCGTTTCTGCGCTGCTGGAGGTGGTTTCTTTTCTGCCTGCTGCACCCAGAACCTTCACAGTCTCATGAAGCTTGCAGTGCCCAAAAAGGACTATGATGGCTCACTGTTTTCTCATTTTACACAGCTTTTGCCAGTTTTTCCACTGATTTAATTACCTGTGATGGAGACATTCACTTGGAAGTTTCATCTTTGCCTCAGAAACATATGCTCGCTGGTGTCCTTTGCTATGACTGATGCACTTGTCTGGTACTGGTTTAATAATTTTTACAGTCTGCCATCACTCACATAAAGTGGATACCTCCGGCACCTGTGTTTGAACTGAGACTAATTCACTTGCTGTTTGCTGTTAATCTAGTGACTAGAAATTTTTTGTTCTCTGCAGATGAATAAATGCAGTCTGCCAGATTCCCTCCTGCTGTCACAGGGATATATTCTTTCTTAGTGTTGCTTTTGACTTGGTGGAGAAAGGTAGGCAGCTTGTATACTGCTTCTCACCAAAAATTTTGTGTCTCCACCCAAGTGTCTTCTTCACAAAAGTCAAGTGTCAGAAATTTCCACTGGATGGAATTTGGAGACAGAGTAAAATGATGGTTGAAGTTGGTTTTCTGTCAGTGTGGGACAGTAGCTTCCCATAGCTTTAATATGCTAAAATAAAGTAGAACAAAATAGAATTAAAAAGGCTTATTTAAAATATTCTACTTTGGCATTTAATAACTTAAAAAAGACTGAAAGCTAATGTAAAATGAAGTAGAAGGTGAAATTCTGAAATTCAGAGTTAAATTTGCGAGTTCAGTGTGACATTTCAAAATTTCCAGATGAATATGTAGTTCCTTTCTACCCTGAGAATAGCAACAAATGTCAAAATGTTGACATTCTTCACAAAACAGTAATTCAGAGTTCTAACCAGCACTAGCTGTATATCAGCTGCTGACTCTCTCATTGCTTCTGGGTGGATTAAATTAAATGCTGTTGCTTCTGTTAAAATGAGGAGGAGGGGAAGAAGGCAATGGTGTCTAACAATGAGAAGCTCAGAGTTAGGACTTAGTAGTACTCTGTGGCATTGAGAATGATG